TTATGCGGTTACAGAATTTGAAAAATTTGGATGAAAGCTAAGTATTGAATCCCTTATGCTTTTTAATACAGTTGTGATCAAAATTAGCCCATTTTTCAAATGCAAATGAATGTAAAATATCTGCAAATCTTAAGAGAAGATACACAAGTTGATCAAATTAAAGATAAACAACAGAAGTAATTCAGAATCTAAGTGTTTACTGACAACATCATTTTTTGTGTGTTGCAACCCAACAAAAAAGCAACAAGATAAACAACAAGATAATGGCGGTGCCATTGACTTCAACACAACCCCACACCCCCTCCCGCCCCTGAACGTAGGGAGTCGGCTGGCTTACATTCCAGTGCGTCCTACAGGCCCAGGTGTCCTGTCCTTCCCGCGGTGCTCGTGTGGCCGACGTTGTACATGGGGAGACGTGTCTTGGCCCTTTCCATCTGCAGCATCTGCCACATTCAGCCGGCAGCCGCACGAGCACCGGGGGAGCATAGCCGTAGCCAGCTCTTTTTGCGCCCGAGGGAAGAAACAGGCGTCCTGCCTCCAGGATTTTATTTTTTGCTATTTTTTATTTTAATTTTATTATTTATTACATTTTTATTTTTTTTACTCTTGGGGAGGGGGGGAAATATTAGGGGTCTTTTATTAGGGGTGGCTTCGGGGAAATATTAGGGGTCTAAACAAAGTCCTCAATCTCTTTTTCGGCAGCCGCTGTTCTAAATGAATGGAAAGCACAGATGCTTCCCATTCATTCAGAAAATATTTTACTATCAAGCAGTTTTTGAATGGGGAGGAGCCTCTGTAGTGAGTGCTTCTCCCCATTGAGAAACTCATGAATGAGCAGGAAGTGATGTAAATCACATCCTGTTCATTTATAACTGGGGACACATAGTACTGTGTGTCCCCAGTTATTTACAAACACTGGAGTGATCAGCTGATCGCTCCAGTGTTTGTCCTGCACAGAGGATCGGAACATATGTACCGATCCTCTGCCGCTCGGCCAGGCACAGGGGGGCTCAGCTTCTCCTCTGAATCCGCGCTGCTCTCCCGGGCAGAGGCAGCGGCGGATCCGAGGAGAAGCATCGGCCACGCACAGGAGGGCTCAGCTTCTTCTCTGCATCCGCGCTACTCTCCCGGACAGAGGCAGCGGCGGATCCGAGGAGAAGTGAAAGAAGCACTGCAGCTGGGGGGGCGGAGCCGCTGTCACAGAACAAAGGCCGAGCGGTGAGGGGAGAGAGAGGCCGAGTGTCTCTCTCCTCACCGCTCGGCCTTAGTTCTGTGACAGCGGCTCCCTCCTCCGATCGCGGGCTCCAGCGCTTCTTTCACTTCTCGGATCCCCGCTGCATACAGATGGGGAAGAGCAGCGTGGATCCAGAGAAGCACCACGGGCGGGAGGAGAGGCCATCGCGATCTACCACTGATTGCTACGCGATCGACTGGTAGATCGCGATCGACCTTATGGGCACCCCTGTATTATAGTATAGAAAACTGCGCAACTGAAAACAGAGTTGGTCAAAGAACTTTCTAGCATGTTAAAATGTCTAGTGACTGATAATCTGCTGCCTCTTTTGTACTTTTTGTTGCCAATTAAAAAGATAGTGGAAAGTTCACTGCATTAAAGCGTTCTCATGTAAAGCCCTGTTCACATGGTTGCGGATCAGCACGGTTTCCTTGCGAATTTTAAAAGGGTGGTTTTATTTGCGTTTCAGCGCGGAAACGCAATTAAAAACGCCCAAAACCGCACTAATCAGAGCGGTTCCATTGAAATCTATATGGAAACCGCGCTGATCAGCGCGTGAAAAAAAGGGTCAGGGAGCATTTCGGGTAGCAGGCGATTCAGATCGCGCTGAACCAAGAATGAAAGGTTTAGAAGCCCCTGTCAGGTTTTTACTGCTGTGTTAACCCCCTCTCCATTTGTTTTGGTGACCATTACCACTGCGATTAAACGCGAGGAAAAATCAAACATTTTAGATATACATTAGTGTGTCACAATAAGTCAAGGAGCATGCCAGTCCAACACAGACCGTGTATTCTCTTAGAGTGGGTGAGTCTACCAATTTATGCTGAATATAAAACACTGTGAAAATACACAGAGAATCATATATAGCACACATTGCTGGATCACCCTAAATTCAAGCTGTGGGTGGCCCTGTCAGCACCACTCCGCTTTAAAAATCAAACAGTGAAAACCATAAAAAGTAACCCGTTTCTAGTTTGCAAATATATACACCATGCACTTGCAAAGCATCAGTGCAGATTTAATAGATACTTACTACCGTGTTTCCCCGAAAATAAGACACGGTCTTATATTTTTTTGGGCTCAAAAAAACACACTAGGTCTTATTTTCGGGGTAGGTCTTTTTTTTTTTTTTTTATGTACAACATTCCACACTTATTAATGTACACAAATATGGTGATCAGGACAATCAGGGGTGTCGTACCTTTCCGAGAGCAATTTGCTAACCAATCGCTGGCCAGAATGAGCGAAGCGCACTTTCACTATCGATTCCTCACAGGTGGAGTGCATTTGGTATCACTCTGCCTGTGACAGGAGCCGGAGCTATAGAGGAAGCATCGGTTTATGCGGCTCTGCTCCCTCCAGTGCCCCCTCGCTTCCTCTAGCGCTGGCTTCGTTGGCACCACTGATTCTCGACCGCGGCTCTTCAAGTTCCCCCTTTTGCCACCACCGGCCCTGGAAATGGTCACAACTAGGTCTTATTTTCAGGGTAGGTCTTATATTTTAGCAATTCCTAAAAATAGTACTAGGTTTTATTTTCGGGGTAGGTCTTATTTTGGGGGAAACAGGGTATTACTGATGGACACCAAGTGGAGAGCTGCAAGTTTGTCTCCTGGTTTTCCCCCCTTTTTTGTTTGACAATGGTCTCCCCAGGCGGGAAGTGAGGAACATTTTGCAACAGGGACACAGGCACAAAACTGAGGTTCTATCCTTTCCCTACTCTACTAAGGCCAGGTTCACACCTGGGCAATCCATGGCTACGCGGTCGTACACCACCCACGATCGCGCTGGAAGTGCCATTCTTTTTGCATGGCACCCCAGTCGCACCTGGCAGGTCACACTGTTTCCCACTGCGATTCCACCCATGCAATTGCAGACAGTGCAAAATAAAATGGGGCCGTGCAGCAACCACTGTGTGCAACCGCACATTTGCGCGTCCTGGGATCGCTCAAATCTGCATCAGCCCTAAAGAAAATCATTTGTATTTTGGTCTGCGTTGCTGTTAGAGAATTACCCTCACTTCCTGTTTGGTACATTGTTTCATAAGAAAGTGCTGGATAGCAGTTAAAACCTGACAGGGGTTCTAATAATTCCCCACTTTATCCAGAACTAAACAAAAGAAAGAAAAAAAGTGTTGGCTGGACATATACTTTAGGGCAGGGGTGCCCACAATTTTTTGTATTGAGATCTACTTTTCAAATGAGCAGCCCAATTAGATCTACCAACGATCTACCTCCCTCCTGCGTTCTGAAGTCAATGGCACGCCAGCCATGTCCCCACGCATGCAGTGCGTTCGCCTGCACCAAAACGCAGCACAAAACCACAATTCCTGCGTTCTGGTCCAGTGTGATTGGAAAAAATACTGCATGCGCTATTTTTTCTGATTGTACTGACTGGAATGCAGGCATTGTGGTTTCTGCATTTTGGTGATTTGAATTCACTGCCACGGCCCCTCCCAGCCCAGAATGCAAGGGGGACAAGGGGGAATGGAAACACACAAGGGCGCAAGACTTGACGGTGGTTATAGCATAAATCTGGACCAATGTGCAAAAAAAAACGTTAATGAAAGTGCACTTACGTTTGAATGAAGGGACCAGAAGAGGGGCAGCCTAGCTTTGCGATCGACCTTATGGGCACCCCTGCTTTAGGGCCTTGTAATGAGATATAAATAATATACACTGCGTGTTTAGGACCTACTTCTGATCAAGTGGTAAACCTTTCCATTTTTAACACTTATAAAGAAAACATCTCACTAACAAATGAAACAACATGAAATGAAACTGTCAGCTTTGGGTTTACAACTATGCGTCAATATTGATGCACTTCGGCATATTGATTCACAAAAAGCATGATTGGATCATTCATATAGATATTACTCAGAAGTAAACATGAACTTCGAGCGCTTCCTCAGGAGCTGGAGGAGATCTAAATGACCCTAAAATAATTGAATATACTCAAAACAAGCCATAAGATATCCACCCAAAAATAATTTTATATATAGACTAGCATTAATAAATCAATGATGATGTTGCCTACCAGAAATCGATGAGCATGCACCAACGGAACCAGCCAGGATGGAGAGGCCCAGACAGTGTCAGCTGAGGACTGAACCCCATTTAAAAGCCCCATTTACCTACATTTTTTCCTTCTTGAAGCTAGAGGGACAGAGGCTGAAGACTGTGCTGTCCCTTTTGAGCTTGTACTGGACAAGAAGTTCAGGGAGGTGGAGCTGAGAGAGTTGGAGTCAGGTGTTTGAATACTACTTTAGGCTTGCTAGTATAGCAGGTTAGAATGCCCACTGACCAATTTAAGGCCAAGGGACCCAGATTTACTCTACCTGGACCTCAGATAGAGAATGCTTGCTGCATTTTGATCGGACCGCAGGCATAATGTACCTTGTAAAACCCGTACGGCTGATCGCATTGTGGCCGCAGGGCGTGGCTACGGTGCCATTCACTTCAATGGCCCGCCATGCCCCCTCTTGCCCCACAAAAAGCCTGTGCAGAATAACTAAGGCTGGCTTCACACCTATACACCTATCATTGTAGTGTGTTGCAATGTGTCAACATGACTTGCCATACAAGTGGTAAACCTTTCCATTTTTAACACTTATAAAGAAAACATCTCACTAACAAATGAAACAACATGAAATGAAACTGTCAGCTTTGGGTTTACAACTATGCGTCAATATTGATGTAATTTCTTGGTTCGGTCACCTGGTGCCTCAAAAGCCCCGTTTACCTACAATTTTTCTATTGCCTGATTACTAGGGGTGTGGCACCAATTACTCAGGATTTGTTCACGACAACTTGTTTCTAGCTTCGAGGAGGGAGGAGAGGAGAGCAGAGGAGGGGAGGGGAGAGGAGTGGATTGCCTTGCTGTGCCTGTGTGTTTGTGGAGACACACACAGCTTGCTAGCACACACAAGGGTGGCTTCAGAGGACCCTGTGAGGGAAAAGAGCCACCCTAAAACAGGATATCAGGGCCAGAGCTCAGGGGACCAGCTGATTCTGAAGAAAACTCAAACTTTTAAAGATCAAGGATCAATATATATTGTAAGTGATTTAATCAGTATTTCAAATAACTTAAAAACTACCTAGGTACACAATACACATACAGACCGGCTAAGAGCTCATATATTTTCTGGGGGTTACCTATAAGCATAAGATTTTTAAAATATGACATCACTATGCACAATTTTAATAGACCCAATAATAAACATGTACAGGAAGGATTATTAATTTCAAGTCTTAATATGCCCACAGTTGCTGTGAGAACCTTTGGGTTTTGGTGTCTGGGGATGCTGTTTACTCTCCAATTATACATCTAGATTTCATATGCTATAATTACTTTGAAGTCACAGGACTAGATTTCGAGCTAAATAAAGTAGCTCTTTCTATAAGCCAGGGGTGGACAAATTAATATGCAATTCAGGAGCCAATCTGCCCATTCCAGGAGCCAGCAGGATTTTTTTTTTAGGAGCTGGTGCTATTGACTACAGCTAGAGACAACCTCATAAGCTGGCTCCTGGGATATGTCAAGCCCTGCTATGAACTATATAAAAGGTCACTTCTAATCTCTATCAAGTCACCCAATGTTGGGCAATTTACATATGTGTAGCACCTAACTGTCCCTTATTTGAAGGGACTGTCCCTTTTTTGTGCAAACAAATCCCTCTGTCCCATTTTTCTGCTCAGTTATCCCTCTTTTTGGTCTGATGTATAAATCTCTATGAACAAAGAACTAATTTAATTACAAAATGTGTTATTCTAGATTAAAGTTTAAATCCAATCTCTAAATTATTGCATTTGTAATTTTGAAAATCCAGTATAAAGGGAAAGTAATTGTGAAAAATCTCTCTGCAGGTTTAACCAATCATTTTTTGCATTATAAAGCTGGACCTAACACTATGTATGTATTTCGGACGGTTCTTTAGGAACCGGCCAAAATTTGTGCAGAGGGTGCCCCTGTTGGGATGTGGACATCCCTCAATCAGAAGAATGAAAGAGCCAGATGGAAAATCTTCGGTCAAATGGTGCTTACAGCCAACTGGCTGCCAGCATCGTTTGGGTACTCTGACAGTGGTTGGTGGTCGCTGTGAGAATACAATGGAAAGAGCAGGGGATTCCTCCATCTATGCTGCTTAGCATTGATGAAGGAATCTGTGATACCTTCTTTGTTAGGCCGGAAGGCGGACCAAAAAAAAAAGTAGCACATTGTGTGACCAGCTTTATTCTTCATGGTCCACGTATTTGAGATTGTGGCGGGAATGTGTCCCTTGCCTACATATTTTGTGTATCTTTCCCATCTCAGAAAGTTGAAAGGTTTTTCATGTCAGAGGCTACAAAAAACATCTACTGTTTTCAATCAGACATGAAGTAAGATAGCGGTATCAGAAAGGCACAAGCATGAAGCAGAGCCTGTATGCAGAAAATAAAAGCTGCCTATACAGTTTGCATATATAGTTAAAAAATAACTTTTGGTAAGGAAAAACAAACTTACCCTTGTAGTGGGGCTACCCCTGCACTGCAAGGGTTAAGTGCTCATTTTTTCCTAGGGGATGCATATAAAAAGGTGCCCATACACCTTACAATTATCTGCAGATTTTCTGTGGTCAGATGGAAAAAGCAGATTGGCCCAGGTGGAGATTACTCCATCCACACAGTTTAATGTAGATGGAGGAATCTGTTGCACCTTTTCCCTCTGACCACAGAAAATCTGCAGATAATTGTAAGGTGTATGGCCAGCTTAAGGGCCTGTTCACATGATATCAGGTCCTGATCAGGTGCGGATCTGCAGACTGATGCAGTGCGTTTTTGCCGCGTTTTTGATGCCTTCAAGTAAAAAAAAAAAACATTTTTTTTTTTGCTGGAGTGTGGCTGTTAGTATGTTAGCTGCAGCGCAGTGAGTTTTTATGCGTTTTTGACGCGTTTGCGTTTCCGGGCCATTTCCGGACCTGACAAAATGTGACATGCAGTATTTTTTCTGTCGTAAGCTGAACGGACTGCGCACGTGAGAACTGGAGCCCATAAAACACATAGGGATACATTGGGGTGCATTTTGAGTGCAGCAGCGTACGGAGCCGGTCAGCACACAAAACGGACGTCGTGTGAACAGGCCCTAAATCTGTATTGCTCACCTGATTCTCGGTGCCATGGCTGTCACCGCTCCTCTTTCTCCTCTACCACTTCGGCTACAGAATGTCTTTTAAGCCAATGGACCTGTATAACGTGATGACTTCAGAGGTCCTTAGACCTCCAGAGCCCAGGGGAGAAGAGACTGACAACCGGCCTAGCAGCCTGGGGGAAGCTGGTGAGAACGAGGATCAGGTGAATACTACAGCTTTATTTCAGCCTCCTAGACAAAACAAGCGCTTAACCCTTGCAGTGGGGGATTTGTTTTCCCGGATTTCTTCTTTATGAACTTTACCTAGAAACAAAGGTTTATGTCTAAGTACGTCTTTTGTTTTAGTAACTACTTTATTTAGGCCGAGCTGATCTGTTTCAAATGTATAGCTAAAAAACATTAAAAAAAAAAGGATCACAGCTGACCTTAAAATAACGGCCCAAAAATATTGCAACAACGTAACTGTCTTTGCATAATGAAATGTGTAACTAAGTGAAATGTGTAAACATTCCAGAACCCAGGAAGTGAAAAGAACCCAGGCCTGCCTGCTGTAGTGTGCATTGTGATAAACCTTGGCATTGCTAAGACAGGGAATCTTTATTTTTCTCAGTATGCTGGCTTGGGATGTAAAAAGCCAATGCCCCCTATCACAAAGTGCTGAATGCACACATATGACTCTGTGGCTGGAGTCTTATGAAACTTTAGAGACAGAGGAAAGAGGAAGGGAATCTTTCTAGGCATCTGAGGTTACCAAAACATAGCAGCTTCACAGTGTACTCCTCACAAGGAGAATAAAGTTAATTTTAGGATAGCAGAATGTTCATTAATAATTGAAGTTACTTGTCATATAAACTGCATGTCCTGGGCGTCGGGAGATTCAGGTTGAAGTGATGCCGCCCAATCACTTCTACACCCCTTTACAAAAAGTGAAATGTACCTTTAAGCACAACAATTGATTCGGCTCTCTCGTTAAACGTAACAATTACACATTAATCATCTCTTGTCATATCTCAACTTAAAAACATTTTCTCAGTGCTTCACACAACTAAATGCTGGTGCATCCAAAGCTATTGCCTTATGTCTACAGAGGATCGTGCACAGTGTTTT